TTCCCCGAAGAATCCCACCACCACCACTGCCACGAAGAACCAATCCGCCCCCTCGCCTCCCCCAGGGCCACCGATTCTCCCCCCTCGCCACCGCCCCCCGAGGTGAGCCTTCCCCGCGCTCCGCTCGCTCCGGCGATTCCTGCCCTGCTCCCTCTGTGTTTGTTCGTGCTTGCGATGGTGTCCGTGGATGGGTAGATAGGCCCGGCGCGCCCGCAGCTTCGCCTCGCAGGCGAGAGCGAGGGCCTCTTGCTAGCTCGCTCGCGGAATTGGGGCTCGCTTTGCTGGATTCCGTGCCGGGGGGTCCGGGAGGGGGAATTCGAGGCGATCGGGTGCAAAGGTGGTGGGTGTCCCTCGGATTCGTTCGCCGGCGGTGCTCCGGCTGCGGCCGGTCGGTCCTCTGTGCTCACGATTGGCGTCGGGGAGTGGAGAATTGGGGTTTGTTGCTCTGTGTGGCTCCCCGAGCTCCTCGTCCCGGCTGATTTTGACGTTTATGCTGCACGCTAGAGTTGACCAACATTCGCGCACCAGAGTAGGCTCAGAAAAAGAAGCGCCTTTATGCTGTTCCTTTCCCCTGTGTGTTTTCTGTTGGCGCGCTTGGATTCCATCGTGCTTGATTATGTCCGCGCGAGTAATTTTAATTTCCCCGTCCATGGATGGATGCAATTGTGCAGCAGCCGCTGATGCTCAGCCGATGTGCTGTCTGTCCTGCGTGAGCTAACGGCTGCTGATGCTTAGCCGATGCGCTGTCTGGTCCGGTGGTCTGGTCTGGGCTGCATCTTGCGTTTGTCTGGAGTCGCTTTGGAATCTGGATGAGGTTCTCATCTCATCACTTCAATCAGGAGCTAGGTCCTACTTACCAGTAGTTCCTGCTTATCTCTTGCTTTCCGTGAGATGCTGTTGTTTGTTCCGCAAGGTTGTTGTTCGCTTCTCAATAGAATATTGAGAAGCGTGAACAATGATTGCTTTATCATTTCAGAAGATTCCGGCCGTGTGTGTGTGTTCTATCTAGGAGACGGCGCTTGCAAAAATTACTCATCTGGTTGTTGTTTAAAGTCTACCTGTCCATTATTTCTGGAGTTGTCTAATATTTCTTTTACTGTTTACTGCATTTCGTCGCTCTCTTGCGGGCATTTTAACTTCCTTGCATGTTTTATGCATGAGTAGTTCTCGTGGGGGCAGTTGGAACTGCCTGCAATAGATTCCATTTCATTGTATTATGATTTAGTAAGTTCACACTGATGGTGTTGACACATTGTTGTGTCCGGTAAAGTGTGTGCCTTCCTAAAAATTTCTGCATATATTGGTCCTTTGAACTTTTGGATTAAGAAGCCTTGTTGTTTTGTGTTTTGCAGAAGGGTAAATGGGATCAGAAGGGCCTTCAATCGTGACTGTCCATGTTACCGGATTTAAGAAGTTCCATGGTGTTGCTGAGAACCCGACAGAGAAACTTGTGACCAACATTAAATCCTTCATTGAAAAGAGAGGGTTGCCAAAAAATCTTGTACTTGGAAGCTGCGAAATTCTCGAAACAGCCGGACAGGGGGCGCTTGGAACACTATATAAAGTTTTAGAGTCTGCCATTGCAGATAGAGAGAACGGGTCATCGGCTCAGGGGCAAATAATTTGGGTCAGTGCTCACCTTACTCTTGAGTGGTAAATTTGTTTCAAGGGTCATGCTAGATGACTCAATCTTCCTCTAAATTCCAGCTAAAATGTGCATTCGTATTGTTTGATGTGTTCTTATACTCTCAGCCTGGAGTTTAAAACTAATGCTATCTATAGTTCAACTGAAAGCTTCTTCTTGCATTGCCAATCAAAACTCTGAATTCTACCAGATTTCTTGGATATAGAAGTTATTTGCTTCACTTGGACCTTTTACGTTTGTGCTTGTCATTGGCCAGTAATTTAGGATTGCATATAATTGGTGAGTACCTAGTGTTGGAGTTGGAGGTCCACTTCTGTATGCAAGCCACAGCTGATTGTAGTAACGATACGTAGCTGATATGATGTGGTCATGCAATGATGCTCTGCCATGCTTACACCTTACATCTTTCAAGATATGTCAAAAACATGCATTCCAGAAAATGAGAATGGGGAATAATATTGCTTGAGTTTCATTGGATCATATATTATATGTTCATGAACTACAAAGTGTTGCCAACTTGCCACATATCTGCCATCTTGTGGTTGTTATGTTTTCTGAAAGATACAAAAAGTTAGTGTGCTTCCATTGTCGCTGAAGATATTTTTTGTACGGATCATTTTTCAGGTCCACTTTGGGGTCAATAGTGGTGCATCACGGTTTGCTCTTGAGAATCAAGCTGTGAATGAAGCCACCTTCCGCTGCCCAGATGAGCTTGGGTGGAAACCTCAGGTTGCGTTGTTGTCAGATTACGAACCCTTCATTTGCTCTGCATATGAATAGATCTTCTAGTTGCATTTCATTTTACCAGCTTCGTTGTTCCCATGCAGAGAGTCCCGATTGTGCCATCTGATGGAAGCATCTCACGGACAAGAGAGGTAAATGCCAGATTGTTCATATATGATGGGTGCTTGCTGAATTATAGCTAGAAACTGCAGTCCTGCTGCACCGATCTTCTTATGATTAACCACGCTTCTGTGAACTTTCCATGGTCAATACAGACTACACTGCCAGTGAAGGAGTTAACCAAGTCACTCAGAAAGACTGGCTACGATGTGATGCCTTCGGATGACGCCGGGCGATTCGTGTGCAACTATGTGTACTACCACTCGCTCCGGTTCGCAGAGCAGCACGGCATCAAGTCTCTGTTCGTGCATGTGCCCCTCTTCTCGACAGTCGACGAGGAGGTCCAGATCCATTTCGTCGCTTCCCTCATCGAAGCTCTTGCTAGCTTGAACTAGGAAAAGGCAACTTAAAAGGTGGGTTTTACCTGATCCCATTTTTTGGTTACAAAGAGCTGGCTAACTGACTGGAATCCTTGACCTGTTTCATTGCCTGTAGGTCAGCGGTTTGACCTGGAAAATGTAAAGTTGGACGCAGACTGAATAAGATTGTGTGGTGATTGGCGCCTATTGGTCAGATCTTGCTCCAAAGAAGGGTGTATTTAAGGGGAGAGAAAAAGAAAAACGATGCTTAGAGTGTGTGTGAAATGCCGGCTTGCATGCCATCAGTTACATGTCCTTGACCTGCATGGAAACCTGGTTCCAATAAAATTGATAGATCTTCGGAGTGGATACAGCGCGTGCGATGTGATTTGTTGATGCCGTGTTTTTTTTTCGTTCTTGCGTTTCTGATGCTTTGGTGAATGGTGGCCATTTGCATTTCTGATTCCAGAGCCATATTTTCACCTCTTGTTCTTCAGGTGCTGTATCTGTGATGCCACTGTCATCTCCTTTGACAGGCAGAGTCTTCACTTTTTCCCCTCTGTTCTTCTTCTTTCTTCTTTCCTTTGTGTTTTGCATATGATCAGTACAGTGTATCCTGCAAATAGCTGAGCTCTTTGGCGCTAAGGTGTCCAAGCGTTCGTACAATGCAAACCAGGTAAGAGCAATTCCAACGGGCCGACCCAAATGGACAGCGTTTTTGTCCGCTTTTTGTCCGTTTGAATCGGCCCGGCGGATACAAACGTCCGATGCTGTGCTTGGATCGGTGCGAGCGCCCAACGCTGCCTGACCTATTTTGTCGGCGTGCCAAATTTTTTTAACATGCATTTAATTAAACATAAAAGCCGACCAAGTAGACCGGCGAAAGTCTACGTTACATTAATTAACATAAAAAACTAAAAACTATATGACGCGCAGCTCTAGACATCCTCGTCGGCGTCTGCGTCGGGGCCGATGAGGTCGATCAACGTCGGCGCAGGGCCGGTTCAGGGGAACGCCGTGTTTCAGAGGGCGGCGATGTCGGGCTGCGCTGCCGCTGTCTGGGCCTGGCGCGCCTCCTCTTCGGCCTCGCGCTTGAGCATCTGCAGGCGCTCGCCCTCTCGGCGCTCCTCAGCCAGCCGAATGCGATGCCAGTGATCGAGGTAGGCCGCCTCCTGCTTCTTCGTCGTCCCGGGCCAGATCGGTGGAGCGCTGATCCACTCGCGCACTACTACGGTCCAGGAGTAGCGCTCGAAGGGCCCGGCTCCTCCGGCTCGGCTTTGGACGGGGACGGCGGGGTTACCGACGACACAACACAGTCGCCCGCCGCGAAGAGGGCCATGGCCTCCGTCATGGCAGCCTGGAAAGCAGCCTCATCCGCCTCCCTCCACCGCTCCTCCTCCTTGCTCTCCTTAATGGCCGCCTGTAGGCGGCCTCGGCCTTCTGGTCCTCGTCGCGGATGACGAGCGGGGGGCGGCGGCAGGCTGCGGTCGACGTCGCGGACGCCGCGTCGCCTCGCCTCCTCGTACTCGAAGGCGAACCATCGAGCCCAGTAGGGCGAGTCGACGGCGTAGTGCGGTAAGGCGCGCTGCTTCGGCGTCAGCAAAGCCCGCCGGCGCCGCACCTCCTCCGCATGGGCCCTCGCCGTCCGCGGCGCCGCCGGTACTAGGATCCTCCCCGGATCCAAATGCCAGTCATGCGGTAGCGTCGCGTCGGGGTACGGCAGAGGCACGCGGTGCTGCCAGTGCCACTCGGCCTGGTGCACCGGCACATTGATGCGCTGCCTCTGCCGGGGAGCGCGCTGCGACGCAGGGAGGGCAGGGAGGGAGGGGGAATGGCGGGCGGGGGCCTTGCCCTTGCCGCTACCGCCGATGCCAGAGAAGAAGCCTATGCTGGCGGTGGCTAGGGTTGTCGCCGGCGTGGGGGCAGGGGTGGCCAGATTGGGATGGGGGCGAGTGCCAGTAGATGAGGACGGCCCCGCCGCACACTGATAACCCACAAGTATAGGGGATCGCAACAGTTTTTGAGGGTAGAGTATTCAACCCAAATTTATTGATTCGATATAAGGGGAGCCAAAAAATATTCTCAAGTATTAGCAGCTGAGTTGTCAATTCAACCACACTTGGATAACTTAATATCTGCAGCAAGGTATTTAGTGGCAAAGTAATATGATAGTAGTGGTAACGGTGGCAACAGGTAACGGTAGCAAAAGTAATATTTTTGGTGTTTTATAGTGATCGTAACAATAGCAACGGAAAAGTAAATAAACGAAGGACAATATGTGCAAAGCTCGTAGGCATTGGACCAGTGATGGAGAATTATGCCGAATGTGGTTCATCATGTAACAGTCATAACATAGGGTGACACAGAACTAGCTCCAATTCATCAATATAATATAGACATGTATTCCGAATATAGTCATATGTGCTTATGGAAAAGAACTTGCATGACATCTTTTGTCCTACCCTCCCGTGGCAGCGGGGTCCTATTGGAAACTAAGGGATATTAAGGCCTCCTTTTAATAGAGTACCGGACCAAAGCATTAACACATAGTGAATACATGAACTCCTCAAACTACGGTCATCATCGGGAGTGGTCCCGATTATTGTCACTTCGGGGTTGCCGGATCATAACAGATAGTAGGTGACTATAGACTTGCAAGATAGGATCAAAAACTCACATATATTCATGGAAACATAATAGGTTCAGATCTGAAATCATGGCACTCGAGCCCAAGTGACAAGCATTAAGCATAGCAGAGTCATAGCAACATCAATCTTAGAACATAGTGGATACTAGGGATCAAACCCTAACAAAACTAACTCGATTACATGATAAATCTCATCCAACCCATCACCGTCCAGCAAGCCTATGATGGAATTACTCACGCACGGCGGTGAGCATCATGAAATTGGTGATGGAGGATGGTTGATGATGACGACGACGTCGGATTCCCCTCTCCGGAGCCTCGAACGGCTCCAGATCAGCCCTCCCGAGAGAGTTTAGGGCTTGGTGGCGGCTCCATATCGTAAAACGCGATGAATCATTCTCTCTAATTTTTTTCTCCCCGAACATGAATATATGGAGTTGGAGTTGAGGTCGATGGAGTTCCAGGGGGCCCACGAGGAAGGGGGCGCGCCCCCACCCTCGTGGCTGGGGTTTGGGCCCCCTGGCCTTAATTCTTTCGCCAGTATTTTTTATTATTTCTAAAAATAATCTCCGTGGAGTTTTAGGTCATTCCGAGAACTTTTGTTTCTGCACATAAATAACACCATGGCAATTCTGCTGAAAACAGCGTCAGTCCGGATTAGTTCCATTCAAATCATGAGAGTCCAAAACAAGGACAAAAGTGTTTGGAAAAGTAGATACGACGGAGACGTATCAACTCCCCCAAGCTTAAACCTTTGCTTGTCCTGAAGCAATTCAGTTGACAAACTGAAAGTGATAAAGAAAAACTTTAACAAACTCTGTTTGCTCTTGTTGTTGTAAATATGTAAAGCCAGCATTCAAGTTTTCAACAAAGATTATGAACTAACCACATTCAAAATAACACTTAGGTCTCATGTTTACTCATATCAATGGCATAATCAACTAGCGAGCAATAATAATAGATCTCGGATAACAACACTTTCTCAAAACAATCCTGATATGATATAACAAGATGGTATCTCGCTAGCCATTTCTGAGACTGCAAAACATAAATGCAGAGCACCTTTAAAGATCAAGGATTGACTAGACATTGTAATTCATGGTAAAAGAGATCCAGTCAAGTCATACTCAATATAAACTAATCAGTAATGAATGCAAATGACAGAGGTGCTCTCCAGCTGGTGCTTTTTAATAAGAGGGTGATGACTCAACATAAAAGTAAATAGATAGGCCCTTCGCAAAGGGAAGCAGGGATTTGTAGAGGTGCCAGAGCTCGATTTTGAAATAGATATGAATAACATTTTGAGCGGCATACTTTCATTGTCAACATAACAACCAAGAGATGGCGATATCTTCCATGCTACACACATTATAGGCGGTTCCCAAATAGAATGGTAAAGTTTATACCCCCTCCACCAACAAGCATCAATCCATGGCTTGCTCGAAACAACAAGTGCCTCCATCTAACAATAGTCCTAGGGGGAGTTTTGTTTGCTATTATTTTGATTTGATTTGCATAAAGCATGGAACTGGGCATCCCGGTGACCAGCCATTTTCTCGTTAGTGAGGAGCGGAGTCCACTCCTCTTGAGAATAACCCGCCTAACATGGAAGATACGGACAACCCTAGTTGATACATGAGCTATTCGAGCATACAAAACATAATGTTTATTTGAAGGTTTAGAGTTTGGCACATACAAATTTACTTGGAACATCAGGTGGATACCGTATATAGGTAGGTATGGTGGACTCATATGGAATAATAACTTTGGGGTTTATGGGATTGGATGCACAAGCAGTATTCCCGCTTAGTACAGGTGAAGGCTAGAAAAAGACTGGGAAGCGACTAGCTAGAGAGCGACAACAGTCATGAACATGCATTAAAATTAATCAACACCGAATGCAAGCATGAGTAGGATATAACACACCATGAACATAAATATCATAGATGCTATATTGATTTTGTTTCAACTACACGCGTAAACATGTGCCAACTCACGCCACTCGAATCGTTCAAAAGAGGATACCACCCTATCATACCACATCACAACCATTTTAATAGCATGTTGGCATGCAAGGTAAACCATTATAAGCTCCTAGCTAATTAAACATAACATAAGTAACTATAATCTCTAATTGTCATTGCAAACATGTTTATTCATAGTAGACTGAATCAGGAACGATGAACTAATCATATTTACAAAAACAAGAGAGGTCGATTTCATACCAGCTTCTCTCATCTCAATCAGTCCATCATATATCGTCATAATTGCCTTTCACTTGCACAACCGAATGATGTGACTAATAATAACAGTGCGCGTGCATTGGACTAAGCTGGAGTCTGCAAGCATTCAATAAACAGGAGAAGACACGGCAATATGGACTCTTGGTTAAATCAACAATAATGCATATAGGAGTCACTTCAACAATTTAATCATGGTCTTCTCCTATCGACCCCCAAAGAAAAGAAAAGAAATAAAACTATTTACACGGGAAAGCTCCCAACAAGCAAAAGAAG